GGGGCTCCCGCAGAGCCCTGGGGCGGTGGCGAGCTGGGGAGCAGCCCCCTGCGGCCCGGAACGAGGCCTCCGAAACCGGCTTCTTCCCAGCAGAGAAGGCGGCGTGCCGGTCACGCAGTAGCTTTAAATAACGTTTGCGAAAGAAATCCCAGCTTGCTGTGCCGAGCTCTGGGCGACTGGTGTATGGAAACAAATCGGTTTAGTTCTCAGGGCTCTAGCGGACTAGTTTTGGAGCACACCAAGGCCATGATTGTTACCTATCGGTTGAAACTTGCCCGGAGGTCTTGGAGTTACGTATCGCTTGATAAAAACAATTCTTGCCACGTTGATCTTCAGGCAAGCGGGCACTGAGAGCGTGGTCCGAGATGTTCCCACCTGGGTGTGTGTTAATGTGAGCAAACGGGGCACCTGGCTGGTGAAGTGTGGAGAGATGTGGTGTAATGACCCGGCTTAGGGTGGAGTAACTGGTTAAATTTTATTGTGAGGTCTTAATGATAGATGCCAAGGTGTGAAAGTAAGCTTAGGAAGTGCGTAGGCAACACTTCTTTCAGTGTTGGAGCTTTTGTGGACATATGCATGGAGTTTATTTACAAATTTATTTTTTTTTTCAACCTTCTTAGATGAGACAAGGTGGAAAATACATGGAAATTTTGCTGTGCAAGGTGTAATTAGAGATGTCACTAAATCTGGAGATTTCTTAATGTTGACAAAGATAATCCTGTGAGGGAAGGCAGGACTGAATGCATGAATGCCGTAGTTTATTCAGTTAAGTTGTCAGCTCCTTATTGTAATTGGCTCAAACTAGTTTATTTTTTGTTGAAGAACAGCAGGCAAAGTTTTCTCATAATATAAACACTTTTAGTGTTCCCAGCTAAATATTTTCTAAATAAAGCTGCAAAACTGGGGTTTATAGGTAGACTTGTAAAAGGGTAAAATAGATTACAGGGAAATAATTCTTTCATTATTATTATCAACATCATCAGTATCAGTGTTGCTAAATTAATTGTCAAATATTTCACACTTTGTCTTTCTTCAGAGATTCTTCAAGAGGATACTCTCAATATAACATCTGCAGAGGAAAGGGAAACTATTCCCATTTTTCCTCTTCTCGCTTTTATTCCAGTCTTGGGATGGAAGACTTCCTTTCTGTAGGTGACAGTTCTGGCACAGAGGAGGATACAGACTCAACTGTCTTATATGGAACTTTGCGAGGAAGTGTTGTTGGATTACGATACTACACAGGGATTGTAAGTGCATGATAAATTACAAAGCAGAAGAAAAAGTTGTTGACAGCTTCAGAAAAAATAGATTAAATTAAAAAAAAAGTTCTAGGACTTTTGATCTATAATTGTAATTGGTTTTTTTTTTCTAACTTGCTATATTTAAGATTGTTCAAGGGAAAACTTTAATTCAAATTTTAATTAATCTATCAAGATCTTAAATCTGGTGTAGTTATTTGGTAGCTCTGCTCACCCACATATGGCAAGTGAAGGTGACTGAAAACGAGAAATTGGATTTGAGCTGTCTTTAAACTGTTTACACAATTGTAAAGGGATGTTTATTCCCTTAAAAAAAAAGTGTTAGCAGATGAAGGTAGTTCTCGCTCTCAGGAATACCTTTGAAATTGCTGACATCTGTCAGATAGCTCTTCTGAACAGAATGCTACATGGAATTAATCATTAAGTTTCATGATATTTATGAAAGTATGTATTTGATATTTCTGCAAATAATTTGCAAATAAACAAAAACTCGTGTTTTTTCATTTGTTTTTCTCTGGTAGGTTAATAACAATGAAATGGTTGCACTTCAGAGGGAGCCTAATAATCCTTATGATAAAAATGCAGTGAAAGTAAATAATGTGAACGGAGACCAGGTAGGCCATATAAAAAAAGAACTGGCCGCAGCGTTGGCAGGCATTATGGACAGCAAACTAGCGTTAGTTGAAGGGTGAGTGTGAAGATTGTACTTTTGGTTCCATGAATATAAGTACTAGAAATGTCTTTTGTTGCTACACTGGCGAATTCTGAAAACTATTTACAGAGTGTTCTCTTTGGACAGAAATGGCAGCTGTTGGTAATATCATTAAAGCTTCGTATTTTCAGACTCTTTATTCTGTTGAACGACTTGAAGACAGTTCATTCTTTCTCATGTATGATGAAACGTGGAGACACTAGTGAGAGCAAATTCCTTGAAAATGGTTGTGGAGCTCTTAAAATAACTGCGTGTGGTGCTTTGTACAAAAGGTTTAGTTAAGCAGTACTAGTGTGAACATACAACGATCTGGAACATGTGTTTTGATGAACATAAATGCTTTGGCGTACCTCTTGTTTAATAGTATTAAACAATTAAAGCATTACTGCTGTGGGATTTTTTTTGCCGCTTTTTATCAGGATTGTCCCTTATGGAGCCAAAAATGCCTTTACCATGCCTGTACAAATGAGTTTTTGGGGACGAGAAGAAAACAAGGAAGCAGTGCTAGATCAGCTAAAAAGGCACGGATTTAAATTGGCTCCCCCTCTGAAAGGTAAGTCCGTAAGTTCGTATTGAGCTTTCCACTGGTTGGAAGAAATGTTTAAAGGGCTTAATTCTCATCGTAGTCTTGTCATTCACAAAATGAATTTTTAACTATTTTAGGCTTTGTAGGAAGGATACTTTTGTGTCTGTTATGTTTCCTACCTGCAAGTGGAGAGGCGTTTAAGCAACCTTTGCTTCTAAGGTTCCATTGCTTGATTCTGCAAGTTCCTTAAAAATCCATAATGTATCCTTGCATTTCTCCGGACTTGAAAGTTTTATTATATATTTTCTTTCTAAGATACAGGTTAGACCCTTTCATAGGGTGAGGGTTTTAGGGACAGTGCTGCTTTTCAGCAGAGTGCTAGGATGTGTATCCTGCTACTGAGGTGTGAGCAAAGAGAGATGTCTCTGAGCAAATGAGCTTAGCAGACCAGATGCTTTGCAGAACTTGCACAAAAAGCATCTCTGCTCCTGGTTTTGTTGAAGCAATGGATGCATGCAGAAATAAACACCAGGTATAGATCTATTTTCTAGCAAGATTTCAGTCTTTATCTTGTGGATTCTATTGCACATAATTAACAGAGTGTAGAGTTAGGAGTAAAAAAGCATTTTGCATTTTCAGTCTTCATAATGTTGCCAGGTCAAATTTCGTGTAACCCAACAATTTTTAAGAAACATGATTGCCGTCTTGAAGAATTCCAACCCTTTATTGCCTGTGAGTCTTACGAAGCTTTGTGGCAAGCCTGTGTGGCTCATTAAAAGTAAAGGATAAGTTTAGGCTAAAAGACAACGGTGAAAAATACTGTTTTATAACCCACAGTCTGATCCACATTGTTACTCATGAGCCAGTGAAGGCTGAGGCTGGGAAGTCGTCATACCATTGTGTTTCAAAATGCTGTTTTGTTTTTTTAATGGCAAGTAGGTTCAGAATGTGGTTTTGGAACCAAGTGGATTTCTGGGAGAGCTGGTCCCAGTTACAGCGCTCCGGTTCATGCTGCTGTGCAGTTGACCACTGAACAGGTTTGCATCTCATAGTTAAACACCTGGAAGTTGGAATTTTAGCAATGGGGGCCTTGAGCCTTCTCCTTGGTAAAACAGTGCTTGTGAAGTCTGTCGCTTTTTTTTTTTTCTTTTCTGAACCACAGATTTGCTTTGAAGTCATCTTGAACTTCTGAACTTTTTCATTTTCATACTGTAGGCACATTTTAGCTGTGGCAGCCTTGAGTCGTGTGTAGTTTTGGGAGGTGGTGGTTCTTCGGTAATTTCTTTACGTTGTTGTGGTGGCGTGGTGGGTTTTTTTTTTGTTTTGCTTTGGTTTTTTTCATCACTCTGTCCTAATGCTTTACCAGATAACAAGTTCTCAAATGAAAATAAAACCAGCCTTCCAGACTTTATTTTCAGACTTGTCCCAGAGTGATATGTGAAAGGTTGGGTTTTGGTTTTTGGTTTTTTTTGCGCTCCCAGGTTAGAACAAAGTACTTGTGAGTGCTTTAGTGAGTGCAAGGATGTGAATATATTTTGCCATCCTTTCTCAAGCTCTTGCTTGTGTTGGCGTGTGTTTGTGTTGGAAAAGCTGAACTTAATTTTTATATTGCAGTAGCTAACAAACACATTCCAGCAGATCAGGTTTGAAGTGGTAGACCTGTCCATACTGGTTATCATAGGACAGGTGCTTGTACTTTAATAGAGTTATTTAATGAGGTTATTTTGAATTGCAAAAATTTTAATCGTGATTTCTGTGTTCGTTTGTGCAGCTTAAAAGCGAATTTGACAAATTGTTTGAGGATCTGAAGGAAGATGATAAAACTTGTGAAATGGAAGCAGCAGAGGTATTTCTTAAGCTAGAACTGTTTTCTATAAAAATATAAATATTTAACATCTACATGCATCTTTAGCTTTGTCTGGACACAGGAAATTCTTGAATCGGGAACAATCGGTAGATACAAAGGACTTTGTAAAAAACCGTTTTTCTTAGAAAAACAGAGTGTCATATTTAATATGTGAATAGTGCATAATGTTTCTCTTTAATCTGCAGGCTGTTGGCACGCTCTTGCTTCCCCATCAGAGGCAGGCTTTAGCTTGGATGGTTTCACGTGAAAACAGTAAAGATTTGCCACCGTTTTGGGAACAGAGAGGTGACTTCTATTACAACATACTGACAAACTTTGCAGAAAAGCAGCGACCTAAAAATATTCTTGGAGGAATACTAGCTGATGATATGGGACTGGTAATAATACTTGACAATCTTGGTTTTTTATTATTTTTTTTTAATACAGAAAGAGCATGTGTGCCTGTTTCATGATTGGTCGGTCATTTGGTTCATTTTAATCTGTGGAAAATAGGACTTTATTCTCTGTTCTGCAGGGTAAAACGCTTACTACTATCGCGCTGATTCTCACAAATTTTCAAGATGGCAAGCCTCTTCCTGTTGAAAAGATTGCAAGGGATAAGTTTTGTGAGGTGAGATGAAGTAAAAAGATTGTTTTCACAGAGTTAATATAACAGTTAATGAAAAAGACTGTGCCTGGTAACTTTTGGTATGGTGAATTTTACGTAGAGTTTGTAGAAGTTATTCCAGAATATCAAATAAGAGGAGGAATAGAGTAGATTAAAGGTGGGTAGACTGTTACTTCAAAGCGAATAATTGAGCTTGAGCTGCAGAGTGTTTCATCTTAGGAGTGTATGCTTACGTATACTTCAAGGAACAACTTTTGAAAGCATAAACATTTTCAGTGTTAAGTTTTATAAATTCATAAGTTTCTTATAAATTTCTCCCACAGGCAAATCATGATTGCCTAAATGGAAATGATGCTTTTCCTGGGGGTATGCCCACATAGTTGATGCATGGTTTGGAGGAACAGCCTGAAACAACTGAAATATCAAGCAGAGGGTCTTGGTGTAGAGAACATAAATAAATAAATCTTGGTTTATATTTTTGCCAGTTACTTGAAATGAAGAGGCGGGAGGAAACTAGAGTTCATTAACACCAGCGTACAAACTCTTCTTGGGTAGCATAGTCCAAATGCTTTTTGCTTTTGTTACGACACAATTTTCAAGACAATGAAATAAACTAAATGCTAGGAGTAGGGAAATTATTATGCAATATTCTCTGACAGTATTAAAGGCTGGGATTTTTGTCTCATTTTGCCACACTTGTCTAAACTTAATGCTTTGTGTTTTACCTCAGAGTGTTAGCTGGGAAATGTTATTAGTGTGTTTACTGTCTTGGGCAGCTGAGTAGACTGTTTCTCTCCTCTACCTCTACAGTTTCATTTGAGCTCTGTGTGTGGCTACTAAAAAAAACCCCAAACGTGTAGTGTTTGCCACTGAGCAAGTCTTGCACATTTCTGAGCAGTAATTAATCCCGGGTCAGATTGCTTCAATAATGCTGTTGGCATTTTTTCCCGTTGTTATATCAAAGAATAAATTTCCATTCCTCCGTAGGAATCCGATACTAACACGAACAACGTTGGACATGGACGGTGTAAAGGTGACAGCAAACTCAAGTCCAGTAGCGTTTGCCTGATGATTAATGGTGTTTCCTGGGGCACTTTTAGTCCGTGGTCAGCGCTAGTCTTTGCAAACTTGTGACGAACTAAGTATCTCAGAGAAGTATTTAAAACAGGGAAGTTACCACATCTACCCCCATCCATACCACTTACGGATCTGTTAGAATCTTGCTTGCTTAAACAGTAAACATTAGGGGGACGGTTAGCTCGGTCAGTTGAGCGCGGCTCTGACAACGCCAAAGACACGGGTTCAATTCCCATTTGGTCCCCATGTGTTGCCTGATCTAGTCGAGAGCTGGCGTCCCTGGCGGCAGGGAGGCTGGGTTAAAATCATCTCTAAGGTCCCTTCCAGCCTAGGCCATTCTAGGATTAATAGTCAAGTTGTACTTCGGTTCTGTGTTTGTCACTTTTTTTTTATTTTTCTCAAGTATTTTTAAGTAACGAGCGAGGTAGAAGCATACGGAAGGATTTTATCACACGTGTAGTTTTCAGGTTGCATCGGGAGAATTTGTAGATGTGTATGAAAATTTTACTTGCTGTTGGTAGGTCTGTAACTCATGATGCTCTTGAAAATGACTGAAGAAGCGTACGGTGCTTGGAAGTTTTCTCGCAGTGATTTTTCTCTCACTGTCCTCCCCTGCAAGGAATTTTAGTATGGATGGCCTAGCCATTCGCACAAGAGGAATGAAAGGGACTGATAAGGAGATAATACATGAGTATGAACTACCTCTGCTGAAAGTTATTTTTATCAGTAATCTGGAAGGGATTAAACACAGACATTCGTGGGGGCCGGTATGAGTGGCACCAGAAAATCAGAACCTTTACCAAAGCTGAAATGCTCAGCAGCATCCAAGTTTTGTTTTGGTTTGGTTTTTTTGTTGGTTTTGCCAGAGCATCAAGCATGTTAACATGAGACTATTTACAGCAACGAGGAGAGAGCCTGTTTCTGCTGTTATTTAATCTGAAAAAAGTGACAACGTCTTTCAAACCCTTGAACCCTCCCACCCCCATTTCTCATTCTATTGTACATAAAATGGATACCTATTTCTTGAGTATTTCTTCAGGATTGTATTAAACTTTTTTCAGTATTGAAAAAAAATCTTTACTGAAGTTTAAATCTGGAATTTAAGCATAAATTTACTTACCTGGGTTAGAGCAAAACTCTTCTGCGAGCGTTATTGCTTTCAGTTTCAGTATCAATTCTGTCCCAATGCATTCTCCGTTTTTGCATTTGCTTCTGATATGCTGTTGGTGGCAGAGTACGGAGGTGATGTTGTGTTTACTACCTGATAGAAGATGTTAAAAAGAACCCCCAAACCAAACAACCTCCCTTGCCACCTCCACCAAAATGCCCACACAGGCATCTGTGACATTACTACATTTTTTTTTTACAGTTGCTGTTATTCATTTAGGTTTAGGCAATGTAGAAATCATTAATTAGTAAGGTTCAACACATAAAAAAGGGTTTACGGAATAGCTTTATTTATAAACTCTTTATAGAACTTTACCCTTACATTTATTTTTTTTCCTCTTTTCTTGGCTTTTTTTTTTTTGGCCAGCTGCAAATTCAGTGCACGTTTTGTGACGTTGTAAATATTTATGATTGTTTTAAGAGCGTTTTTGTTTTTTGCTCGTGATCGCAGTATCAGCAGTACTTGTCCTGTGCAGAATTAAGTTTATTTTGAAGGAAGTTTGTATTTATTCCTGATCAAGTTATGCTAAAGTTGGTTTAATGACCAAGCTAAAGACTGTATTTTCCGTAAATACTGATTTCTTCTTTATGAAGGTTCTAGCAATGCGATGGAGCCTGGTGTTTCTAACGTAAAAAAGTTTGAAGTGACTCCGCTGAAATATTCAAGGTAGATTGCTGGAATAATGTTTTTCTTTTTTTTGTGGTTTACTACATAGGTTTTGAGTGAAAAATAAAGTGCCGCTTGGTTGTGATTAACCTGAGCCTAAAACATATTCTTGCCTCTCCCCTCACCTTTCAGGATGCTATAGTTGTGCTTACATTTATCTTAAGCGTGTTGTGCTCTGGAATAGATTAAACAAACATTAACAACATTTAAGCAGTGAAGGTGCCTAAAACCACATGCCCAAAACTGGCTGTGAAGTGTTCTTTCTTCTAGTATCTTGTGGGCTTTTCAGTGGTTAAGATACTTTGCAGACATCAAATTGCTTTGATGCTGTTCAGGTAAAGAAATTTAGAATATACTTCAGGGAACAGTAAGTAAATTGAACTTCTACTTTGCTTTCAGATGAACTGTTATGCCTCTAAGTATGCAGCTTCTGACAGTTTTCAGCAGATGAAGTGAAGCTTCCTAATGTGTTTGAACCTTTCCCCCGCCGTAGCCTCTTCTTATAATTGGTGGGAACTTCAGTGAAGATCTCTGCTGCGTTTTATGAGCGTTGCTCACCTTGCAGCTCTGCGTTCTGTTCTCCCTCTTTCTAACCCCTTAAAGAGAAAGGGGTTATCTTATTTGCAGTATCAAGTTCATTCGCTTTACGCACTTGAGATTTAACATGTAAATTCAAGCCGTAGTAGAATTATGGTTTTGGTGTTTGGTTGTTCTGTTGTGGTTTTTTTTTTTTTAAATTTTTTTATGGTGGTATCTTAGAGATAAAGCCAAGAAAGCCAAGTATTCAGGAAGCAGTGACTTGGGACAGTCTGAAGAATGGCTTCCACAACAAATGGAAAGTAAGTTCCAAGGATTTCATTATTTTTTTTTAATGGTCATTGAGACACCTGGTGTCTTCCTTTTGGAGTCAAGCCAAAATTTTAAGCAGAAAATTTTAGAAACTGCTGAACGGGAAGGCAGTGTTTTTTAGTCCTAGATGTTGTAGTTTTTTTCCTTAGCTGTATGAGTGGCGCTGTAACAAGTGATGAGCAGGTCAAAGGGGTGGTGAAAATTAGAATTCCTAAGGTTTTTAGAATTTGACGTGGTCATGTGAGGGCACTAGGGCTGGAAAAACAAATTAAAAAAAAAAGTAAGGCTGTCTTTTGTGGTAAATGCCTGAACTGTGATCATGAAGAGGCAAGAGCATGTGTCATTTGTTGAACTAAGTGTCTTGCATGGGGAAAAAAATGAAGGGTTTCAGGTACTCCAGAGTAAGTGGTTAAGTTTAGGTTTCAAATACTTGGAGTGAAACCTATGCTAAACATTTTTGGTTTTTTGGCTTTTTTTTTTAATGCCTGGTAAACCACGTTACTCTGAAGATTCATAACCTGATCCGTCCGTATTTCTGCACACGTGCCTGTCAGAGTTCAAGCAGCATCTGGATGATGCTCTTAGCCACAGGGTTTAGTTTTAGGTGGTCCTGTGAGGAGCAGGGTGTTGGACTCGATCCTTACAGGTCCCTTACAACCCAAGATATTCTGCATTACTGTATTGGAGAGAAGAAGTGATTCGGTTAACAGATTTGCCTTTCATGATGTGTCATAAAAATAAATGCACACATATGCTCTACATGGCGTGAAAAATCCATTTGTCTGTCTTCTTACAGCAACTTCCAGTGTTATCCAAGAAGATACGGGCTTTACATCTGCTCTGCTGCCTTCATCTGCTTGTTTAAAAAGACCTAGAAAGAGAAAAGGTAATGAGTTGTTTGAAGCAGAAGTATTATGCGTTTTTGATTTAATAAATAACGTTTATATCTTTGTAAATTGCTTTGATGCTGTTCAGGTGAAGAAACTTAGAATATACTTCAGGGAACAATAAGTAAATTGAACTTCTTCTTTGCTTTCAGATGAACTGTTATGCCTCTAAGTATGACTTCTGTTTTCTCAGGTACCGCTAGTGCCCAGTCAGTTGAGAAGAAATGTTCTAATGGCAGCCCCAGAGCAACACTGATTGTGTGTCCCCTGTCTGTGCTGAGCAACTGGATGGTAAGTGCTAAGCTGTTCTAATGAGTAGATGTAATACATGTGGATTATGATGCTGTAGAAATAGTACTTCCTGTGGTGTCTTATGCTAGAAACAGCGTTGCTTTCAAAAGGGAGGTTGGTCTGACAGAAATTCTAAAACCGGAGCAGCGTGGTGATGAGAATGAGTTCCAGGAGTAGCAAGCTCACCACTCTCCGAAAGAACAAGCTCGTTTTCTCTTGCCTGCTTTTGACTAGGCGGATTCAGACTGGCATTTCTGGATCTCATGTGATACAAGTCCTTGCACCAGATGAGGAAGGTGGAGTCAGGTCCTTCCTGCATGCTCAGAATGAAATATTTCTCTTTTTTTATTGATGTGACATTTCACGTCCTAGAGGAGTGCAGTAATTTGATGATCCTTCTGCTGATTTGTGGGAGTAGTTCTGCCAGGGTGAACAGACTGAAGGGCCCTTGTAGCTCTGTCTCTGCATTAAATTTCTTTTGTTTTCATGACATTTTGAATACAATTACCAAGGGGATATTTTTATCTTTCAGGTTATGTTTTATCTGGAAGATTTTACTGCCTGTGGTTAGAATGTTAATAGGAAAAGGAAAAAAGTCTGAGAATGTAGATGAAACGATATAATTGGGAAACATCAAATAATGTAAAAAACGTCCTCTTCATAAATTCAAAACTGAATTAAGCATTTTAAAAAAGAACAAACTTTTGAGTCTGGTGCTTCAAAAAGCCAATTGTTGATTTTTATTTACTGTCAAGATTACTGTCGGCTGAGTGCTTCACAGGACAAATGCAGGGAATACGAACAGTGGTTTTAAAATGAATACTTGAACAATTGTGCTGTCTTCTATGCTAAAATTTAGGTGGTTAACCCAGTAAGGGGGAAGCTGTAGAAGAACAGTGAAAGAATAAACAGAGATGAAGGTAGAAAGTGAGGAAGGACGTAAAAGCTCTTCTGTTACAATTTGGGAGGAATAGTGGATTTTTGAAGTGCGTGTGCCATCGGGATGTGAATGAATACTGTGCAAGTAGAGCTGGAGTTACCAGACTGTGATAGTGTGTCTGTTACTAATGGCTGAGGTGACAACTTCTGGTGCTTCTTTGTACCTGGTGGAGAGGTAAAAAGAAGCAAAATCAGTTGCTTTTGTTGAATAAATGGATGTAGAAAGTCACACAGCCAGAGGAAGTGGTTTTTAGTTAAGGCAACTTAAAAGGATATTATTCTGACATTGTAGGGACACAGTATCGTGTGTGCTACCTTTGACAACTTTTCTTTCAGGATCAGTTTGAACAACATATCCACCAAGATTTTCATGTAAATATTTATGCTTATTACGGTTCTGACCGTAGCAAAGACCCATCAGTTCTTTCAGAACAAGACATCGTGCTGACAACTTACAACATCTTAGCTACTGATTACGGAGTAAGTAAATGAGAAAAAATGTTCTTTGAAGATCCCTTCAAAGATCCTTAAAGGTCAAGACTGCCTGTTTTTGCTAATGGTGATGATATATGCAAGTGCTATCTGGCAGGCATTCAGAAACTGAGAGCTGTAGTTTTGCTTTACGGGTTCACTGTGGTAATGAAGGGAGTGTTTTATTGATTGCTCTCGGGGAGAAGAAACTTTTTAAGGGTAGAAAAGGATAGCAAGTATGTGTATTTCTCGAAGTCTCAGTGGCATGAGGCTCCCATTTCTGCCTATATAAAAACAATTCTGTAGTTCTTGCTGCACGTGGGCTGCTAAATAGCTCATGGCATGAGATGTGTTTGCAAAGTGATATTTTCGTAGAAATTCCAGCCATTTTAAAAGCCTGAAGATTGTATCTTTAAATATAATACAAACTTTGAAGTTGCTCTCTGATCCATTTTCCATATATCTGTGTCTTTGAAGCCTTTCTTCTTTTCAGACTCTAGCTTATTTTTGCTGTAGCTCCTTCCTCAGACTCAGATATGGGAAGACTGGTAAGATTTTCTAGGAATCATTAAATCTGACAGAAGAAGCACCTCTTTCTTAGTTTTGCTCTTCTGTGCTGGTAAATGAACAAGTTGCAAATAAATACTATCCGTTATTAACTGTGGAATTCTTCTATTAATTTGCTTATTCCAAACTGCAAAAGAGTGTTTTAATTTGTGTCAAAGATGAAAAAAAATACTGCGTTTCAGGTCCGAGGTGACAGCCCTTTACACAAAGTCAAGTGGCTGAGAATTGTGTTGGATGAGGGCCACACTATACGAAATCCAAACGCTCAGCAGACTAAAGCTGCCTTAAGTCTGGAGGGACACAGAAGATGGGTACTTACAGGTAAAACATTTGACACCAGAGGAAAGGCTGTGCAGGTCACCTTAGGATAACACCATCCTGTGTTTCCTGCTCGGTGTTTCCGCTTTGGCTTGTTCTGGGAGATGGTCAATGTCTGTCTGCATCAGATTAAATCAGAATGTTTTTAAACTTGTCTTTGAGCAGTGATTTAGTTATGTCTTCTTTTAATTGTTCTTTTTTTATTTTGTTTCCTGAGTTTTGTGGTTGTGGGGTTGGGGGTTTTGTTTTCAGTTTTTGTTTTCATTCTGCCTGTAGACACAAATTTTGAAATAACTTTTGATACGCAGGTTTGGTGGGAGCGCAAGTAAAAAGGGACCTATTTATGAACTGTCATGGTACATCTGGTTAGAACCTCACACTCTTATATACTTATCCTAACCTCAGCAGCTTTTTGAAATTTAAGTCATCTTAAAAGCTGCCAGCGACCGCGCAAACGTATATGATCCTTAGAAGTAATTGAAAGAAGTTCATGATGTAACCACGTGTAGCGAAGCTGAAATGGAAAGATTAACATCCAAGTCTTCAGAGCTTGGAGAGCTGCAGTTTTCTGACTCTTCTATTTGAAAATGTTTTGTAATACTTGAATTAGAAAAAGTAATATGTATTATACTTCATGACTAGTTATGAGAGACCTTGCGCATAGTGTTTGGAGAAAGCACAGAACTTTCACTTTGACTAAAAATCTGTATTTCTGAGTTTCTTTGTGGTTTTACAATCTTTGTTTTCTGTTTAGGTACCCCTATTCAGAATTCTGTAAAGGATTTGTGGTCTCTTATTTCCTTTTTAAAGCTGAAACCTTTTACTGATCGAGAGTGGTGGCACAGAACGATTCAACGCCCAGTCACAATGGGAGCTCCAGGAGGACTTGGGTATGAAGGGGTTGTGAATGAACATGACTGGCAGCGCGTAGGCAATGTGACAAAGTAGTGTTTCACGTTTAAAATTGAATTGCATCTGCCAGCAGTTCTTATTTCAATTTTTTTAGTTGAAGTTAATAAATATTAAATCACTCAAATTATTAAATGTTTCCGAGTAATGAATTATATTGTACTGCTGGGCTTGGATTTCATACAGAACATGTATTCATAAAATAAACTGAAAAAACCCCAGCAAACCAACAAAACAAGTGTCAAGGGTTAGCGTACCCAAACCGGGACACCAAGGTGGGTAATATATTGTCTTTGTATGTATTTTTAGGCGTTTACAGTCTCTGATCAGGAGTATTACCCTTAGAAGAACTAAAACGAGCAAAGTTAAAGGAAAACCCGTTTTGGACTTACCGGAACGTAAAGTACTTATTCAGCACGTTACGCTTACAGAGGAAGAGAGACAAATCTACCAGTCTGTGAAGACGGAGGGCAAAGCTGCCATTAGCAGGTAACTGGGAGGCATTCTTCATCCTGGAGGTTGAAGTGCGATATGAGAAACTTGTGTTTCTGACGTTTTGATTATTTAGCTCTCATAGCCAAGTGTGTCAGTCTGCCTGCTGTGGGCTAATGATTGTAAATTAGCATCCGTTCGGCTCTGAAGAGTGAAGTGAGATTATTGCAGGGCTCTCTATTAGAAGTTCTGTCTTGCGAGAAACAGAAAGGGATACCAGATACGTAAAGAGTGGCCGTAAAGTTTTTGTCACTACCTGTTAGCATTTCTTCTAGTAGAACATGCTGCTGGTAGCACTTTGTACCTTGTTTCAGAAGAGAATGTATTCGAACAGGGAAGTGAGAAATTAGAACATAATTCTAACAGCTGAATGTGAGATCACTTGATGTCATCTGTTATTTCAGACTGTAGAATTTCACACAAATGATAAAATTTTTATTTCAGATATTTCAGGGAAGGGACTGTACTAGCTCACTATGCTGACATCCTTGGTGTCCTGCTCAGATTGAGGCAGCTTTGTTGTCATCCTCAACTTTGTATAAACACATCTTCTAGCTTTTCGGCTGGTGAGTGAATGCTTTTGGTTCCTGTGTTTCTAAAAACAGGAACTGCACTTTGTATTCGAAAATGGGAAAGTTCTGTGTGTTTTTGAGGCTCTTCTGTCTTCACACTTCCTCTTTGCAGCTTGGTTTTTAGCTTTTACCTACTTTTAGCTTTGTTATCTTTATTTTTTTTTTTGTACCATATGTTTGCGAAGTGGGTACTCAAGTCCATGCTCAAATAAGAGTGGAAGCAGTGAAGTGTGCATAGTTACAAAGACTACGAGCAGGAGTTAATAAGCTTTGACAGCCCGTACAGAAATGACCGAAGAGGACCTCTGCAGAGCCAAATGCAGAAGGCTTGTTCAAAAGCAGTGTATGTGGTGTTGTCATAATTCACAGAAGTGCTTTTACAGCAAATTTTTTTCTTTGCCTCAGGAGAGAAGATGTAGAGGAGCTTTGGGGAGTGGCTTGTAGATTGGTAGCCATGTCAGCAGAATCATTGCCTCTTCAGCAGAATAGGAAACTGTTGACTTTGTTACAGCTCTAAGAAAGGGTGAACACAGAGGGCTGAAAGGAGTGTGAAAGTTTATTTTTGACAAGCCAGAAATGTAGAGCTCCATAGTGTTAAAAATTATATGCATTTCTTTCCGAAGGAAATATAGTCTGTTTGAAATATTCCAGATTTGGGAATACTCAAATTTAATATTTTGAAAAATCCTATTTTGAGATGCCATTTGTGTAGATGTGGTTTTTCAGGAAACCTGTGGACAGAACTCTTTTTTTTGAAGGCGGTAACTTATCTTCCTGAAAAATAAAGGGTGGAGAAATGATTGGATAATTGTTCAATAGTTATTTAGAAATTAATTAGTAACTAGTAAGTGTTATTTGAATTTCTTTACTTAAAAAATAAAGCAACGTTAGCTGTAAGTAGTGTCATCTCTGTAGTGTTGCTGCTACGTGAACGGCTGCCGTGTGAAAACTGCTTGTTCACAGTGGGCATTGTGTCGCCTGGGTACTTCCCACTGAGCGTGCGGTCGAGGTTCTCTGGATTCTAAATGCTGTTTTTCCAAGAAATGCGACTCTTGATGCGTTTTGAAATAGTAGGGTGGGATTTTCTGTATTATTTGGCAGATTGTGTCTCAGTACATTGTAGGCTATATCCTCGTTATGTATAAACTGTCCTCATTGCGTTTGGATCGATGGAACTGTGTCGATGTGTGCCAGCTCAGAGTGTTCCCTGTATGGAGATCTTTGGTTTTAAGTATCTTTCTATATTTACAGATGATAAAACTCCGGAAGAACTGCATGAAGCATTAGTGAGTAAAATGAAGTTGATTCTGAGCTCTGGATCAGATGAAGAATGTGCTGTTTGCTTGGAATCACTGACTTTCCCTGTGATCACACGCTGTGCGCATGTGTTCTGTAAGCCGTGTATTTTTGAAGTCATCCGAAGCGAACAGGTTTGTTGTTGTGTGGTTACAGTTAATTGTAAGAGCTATTCGAAAAGCAATGAACTGTGTTAAGGGACATCGCTGTTTTCAAAGACCTTTTCCCTACTTCTCACCTTACTTTGTCCTAGGGTAAAAGCGATGGCATCCAGGGCAGCATTATGTACTCCCATATGGCTGGACGCCTCTTCGCTGCCTGTATGTGATGTGGTGCATGTATATATTGTTGTACTTAAAAGAGACCGAGGCTGTGTGTTGGAAGTTGACTGTTGAACTAAAATCATGTCTACTATTGCTTATTCTAAACTGATAACCTCCTGCAGTGAAATAGCTGCTTTGCTAGAGGGCCGTCTTCATGGCCCTTCTCTGAACTCTCTCCAGAACGGAATCATGGAATCATTTTGTTTGAAAAAGTCCTTTAAAATCACCAAGTCCAACCATCATGAACTTTGCCAGGCCCGCTTCTAAACCGTATTCCTGAGCACCATATCCACAAGGGTGGTGATTCAACCACTTGTCTGGGCACTCTGCTCCCGTCTTTGACAGCCCTTTCGGTGCAGAAGTTTTTCCTTATGTCTAACCTAAACCTCCTCTGGTGTAACTTAAGGCCATTTCCTCTTGCCTTATGGTTTTAACTCGTGAGAAGAGACTGATGCCCACCTGTCTACACCTCCTTTAAGGTAGTTGTAGGGAGCAATAAGGTCTCCTCTCGGCCTTCTTTTCTTCAGATTAAACAACCCCAAGTCCCTCAGCCGCTCCTCATCAGACTCGTTCTCAAGACCCTTTCCCAGCTTTGTTGGCCTTCCCTGGACACATTCCAGCATCTCAGTGTCTTATACCGCAGTGCCCAGAACTGATCACGGTGCTCAAGCTGTGGCCTCACCAGTCCTGAGTACCGAGGCACAGTCACTTCTCTGCTCTTGCTGGCCACGCTGTTGCTGCTCCAGGCCAGGATGCCAGTGGCTTTCTTT